ACAGAATAGCTAACTGAATCTTACTCTAGAGTCACTCTCTAAGTATGTTCTCAGTGTCACAGAATAGCTAACTGAATCTTACTCTAGAGTCACTCTCTAAGTATGTTCTCAGTGTCACAGAATAGCTAGCTGAATCTGACTCTAGAGTCACTTTCTAAGTATGTTCTCAGTGTCACAGAATAGCTAGTTGAATCTTACTCTAAAGTCACTCTCTAAGTATGTTATTAGTGTCACAGAATAGTTAGCTGAATCTAACTCTAGAGTCACTCTCTAAGTATGTTATTAGTGTCACAGAATAGTTAGCTGAATCTAACTCTAGAGTCACTCTCTAAGTATGTTCTCAGTGTCACAGATTAGCTAGTTGAATCTTAATCTAGAGTCACTCTCTAAGTATGTTATTAGTGTCACAGAATAGTTAGCTGAATCTAACTCTAGTGTCACTCTCTAAGTATGTTATTAGTGTCACAGGTTAGCTAGTTGAATCTTATTCTAGAGTCACTCTCTAAGTATGTTCTCAGTGTCACAGGTTAGCTAGTTGAATCTGACTCTAGAGTCACTCTCTAAGTATGTTCTCAGTGTCACAGATTATCTAGTTGAATCTTATTCTAGAGTCACTCTCTAAGTATGTTCTCAGTGTCACAGGTTAGCTAGTTGAATCTTATTTTAGAGTCACTCTCTAAGTATGTTCTCAGTGTCACAGAATAGTTAGCTGAATCTTATCTAGAGTCACTCTCTAAGTATGTTCTCAGTGTCACAGATTATCTAGTTGAATCTTATTCTAGAGTCACTCTCTAAGTATGTTCTCAGTGTCACAGGTTAGCTAGTTGAATCTTCTACAACCATTTGTTTTAATTGATCGTAATCTTGCTCAGTGATGTTTTTTTTTACGTGGTAACTTAACATTTCCCTTTGTTTTCCAAGCTCGTGCGTGACCTTGATCCACTTTCAGATGCTGATCTGTCTAATTTCTCTAGAAATTAACACATTGTTCCTCAGTTGGAAGGTTTAAGATGGAATTGAGGAGCAGCACGTAGTAACAAATATGACGAGGCTATTTATATGTGTTGTGATAGGATCATTTTTCTGTAAGTTTGATTGATTTCTAGGTTTATATTGCACTACAATAGAGACACACGTGTCTGTTTTGAACCTGGTATTACTGAGGTTCTGTGGTATTCTAAGCTGCACTGATTTACCTTTTCGGACAGTAGCTACAAATAACAGGCGGAGCGACCAAGAACTGAGTTGATTCCTGTACTTGGGTTGAAGAGAGACTGGGTATAGCGTGCGTGACATAATTTAAAGCAATCTTTATTCATTAAAAAAAATTATAAGTAACGAATGGACAGCACTTATAGTGAAGGTTTGAGAATATTGAGTAATTATTCTGGAAAGATTCTGTTATTTTTTCATCCAATTAAATGAACATAGCATTGTATACAGAATTCTGTAATGTTGTCTCTGTGGCTAAATACCCAGGTTACCGTTAGTCGTTCCAATATAAAAAAATTAAACTCCAGATATCAGCTCACCTTGCAGAAGGAAATAATGGTCTTTTCCGTTTGGTGCGCACCAAGAGATCGTTTTGAAAAATAACACCATTAATGCAATAAAATAAAATAATTAATAATAAAACATTATATGATATTTATTTAGCGAATTCTGCGATATTAAACAATATATTTTTTGAACAAATCTTTATTCTTGTTTCTGTTTCTCCATATAGATTCACAAAGATAAGATTCAAGCATTTGGCGATGAGTTCCGCGTTAACTGTACTGTTGGTGGACACCATACGGAAAAGATCCGAAAATATCACTGTCCACTTTACGTAGTATTCTTCTTTGCAGCAATCTTTCCGATGAGAAAGTTCACGTGACATCATAAGGGAATGACCCAGAACAATAGTTAGCTAAAAGCAAAAGGAATTTAGCCATATTCGTTTCCTTGATCAACGTTCCAATGTCAAAATTACACAAATGTGTGAACAATTGTTGGAAAACATGAAACATAGTTTACATTTACATCCCATAGTTGTAAACACATTTCTAGTAGATAACATCTGTGAGGTTTTGCTCTCTTACAAACTGTACTGGAACGAAGTTTGTATTCCGTTTCCTGTAGAAACTTCACTCTAGTTAAACTTCACTTTTCAGTAATGAAGTAAAATAAATAAGTAATGTAAGGAACTAAAAATCAGACAGAAAAGAAAGTGTAAATATGTCAGTAAAATCCATTACCTTCAGGTTATGGAGTTGCCAAATAACCCTCAGTGGTTGAATCACACTTCAAACAACAGTTTACATTGTCACCACAATACAACAAACTCTAAGGTACGTTACTATAGAGATAACCCATTATGTGTGTGTGTTACCATCCATCATACAGAGTTGGCTTGCTCGATTTACCATAGTTTTTGGTGTGGTAACTGGAAACTGTCCGACGGTGTATATGGGCTATCTTTGTTTTAGGATTTTTACTCTAAAACAGAGCACATTTCCACGATTTTATAGGCATTTGGTTTCGAGTTTAAAGATACAAGTACTTCATCAGTTAAATTAGTCAATTATTACCTTCTATAGCAGGGTATGTAATTAGTATCTAATGAGGACACTAGGGATTTCATAACAAAATAAAGAAGAAAGGGGGACATTATCTAATATCTGCATATAGTTTTTGTTGTATTAACGATAACCCATAGCTAGTGATGTATAAAAATGAGAAATTCTGTAGCAAAGTGAACAGAAAACAGCTAAAATGGGAAAGAAAAAAAAATATCAAATAAAAACAACGTTTAGTATCATCAAGTACTTAGCACAACTAAACACGACAATTAAATACATCCATTAATGACGTCACAAACATAACCTTGAGCTGACATAAGTATAAACCTACTCCTTGTGTTTTATTTATTAAAGCTCTGTATTCCTTTATTAAAATGGCTTCTTTTATTTTACGTTTATTGATATTAGGTTCTCGACAAATAATTTTAACAATTGTATTTTCACTGCAATGTTCTTTATCTTTAAAATGTTGGTAGATTGTGACGGTCCATGTTCTACTATACTACCACTTAAACTCCTACCAACCACCCCTATATAGAGAGTATTACAGTCCGTTCATTATACACTGTAAACTACTTCTTTCTCGTAGCTCAAGAGTCGGCGGTGGGTGGTGTTGACTAGCTGCTTTCCCTCTAATCTATCACAGCTGAATTAGAGATGGCAGATAGCCCTCGTGTAGAAAAAAAGACAAGATGACAACGTTTCGACAGGTTCATCATAAAACACGTGTCGAAACGTTATAACTATCTTTTTCTTGCTTTTCATCTTCCCGTTTTATAAGTTTATTTACATTTTGTAAAGTACACTTTTATCTCGTAACGTTGCGTCGATTATTTCCCCACAAGACAGCTTCATCCAAAGAATAAACAATTTTTTTCTAAATAAATGAGACTAATTCAAATCTTTTCATGTATACAGCTTGTCGTATTTAGCCTTTTTTTCTTCTCTCTAGATACTTTGAGCTCACGAAATTCCTGTTAATGTTTTACAAAAATTATGCCCCCCAGTGGCACAGCGGGATGTCTGCGGACTTATAACGCTAGAAACCGGGTTTCGATACCCGTGGTGGGCAGAGCACAGATAGCCCATTGTGTAGCTTTGTGCAAACAAACAAAAATTATTTAGTTTCGAACATCACTGTGATTTTCTTTGCTTCCGTTAATGTTAGTTAATTCTCTAAGTTTAGATTCTATGACGC